ATCCATTACAAATTACTGACAACAATGTTCCATTCATCACACACACATACAATTACACCTCAATTTAAGGTAGTTGAAAGTTCAAAGTTAAAGGTAATGTTTTTAGTTTTTTTTTTTCTCAGTGCAGTTTTAACTTGTATTACAAACATTTTGAAACAAAGCAAAAACAATCTTATTTAGGGTATGCTTCTTGTAAACAGTGGAGGTAGCAGTACAATTAATAAGTATGGCACTGGGTTGGCCGCACATGTTTCCAATGTTTTTTTATCACACTGTAATGGCGCTTTTCCACTGCGTGGTACGGCACGGCTCGGTTCGGCTCGGTTTGAGTTTCCACTGCAGTTTAGTATCGCTTTAGAATAGGCAGGATTATTCACATGTCGTTATAGTTGCGCCGCCTCTATTGCCGCGACTCCTGAAAAACTTTTTCATTCCGCTTCGCCCCATTAAGCTCTCGCTGGATCCGCTCCTCTGCTATCAACGAGAGGAACGTCTGTACTTCCGCAACAGGGGGAACAGCCACTTTTTGGTTGTTAAAAAAAGGAGCGCTCATTCAAAACAGTTGCGTTCGATCCTTCACTGGCTGTGCTGATTTAAATCTAGCGGTTCTGTTGTGTTTGGGTTGCAACTTCAGTGACGCAGGTAGTGACGATTCTCTCCGGCCAATCCGTGATCAGCACAGTTTACACGTCACGTTTTGGTAACGGTACGGTACGCTTGGAACCCCAACCGAGGTGGTACTAAAAAAAGTACCAGGTACCAGGTACTGTACCCAGTGGAAAACCCCCAAAAAGTGAACCTACCGAGCCGTACCATGCAGTGGAAAAGCGCCATAAGTGTTCTTCACAGTATTAGGGTAATCCAAATGTACTGTACCAGTGATCCAAACATAGCACATGGCAGTCCGGAAGCAAATGGCTGAGGTAGACCCTGGAGACTGTTCTTTGCAGTACTACCCTGAACAATGATGGTAAAAGACACAGGGTCAAGGCAGAGAAGATTTGGAGAAGTACTTCATCTTCAATGATAGTCAGCAACCCAACAGATACCAGTGCCCAGACTGCATCAACATCAGACACCTGTATAAAACCAAATAAAAACAATATTAGTAGGGAAATATGGATGATAAGTTATCAGTGTTATCTGTCCTGCCTACACTACCATGCCATTGGGTTAGTTCACCCAAACTTGACATTTTTGTGATAATTTACTCAAACATGACTTTTTGGAACACAGATAAAGACATTTTCAGTGAAATCCAATATAAAGTAGGGCTGTGCGATTTGGGGGAAAATATCAAATTGCAATTTTTTTGACAGATATTGCGATTGCGATTTGATTTGCGATTTTAAATTTGCAAAGTCAAGCTTCAGCTCAATATTGCCAATAATGTGCAGCACAGTATGGGTATCATTACCCTGCTGAAAAAAAACAATAGAAACCATCACAGAAATTCTTATAGTTTCCATTAAACCATTACAAAATTCCTTTTTGTTTTGGGCATTACTCCAATAGGAATTACTGTTGTTCTATTGGTTGCCATCTGCCAGATTACATCCCACCAATAGAATCCATTAAATAGACACTGTTATAGTTTACATTAAAACCAATACAATTCCCATTATAACCCTGAAATTCATTACATTTGTTATTGTGTTTTGGGAGGGGTTCTATTGTTCGGGGTTTTTTTCAGCAGTCAAGATTATAATGGTATAACTACTTTTACAGAATTAACTTAATTACTGAATTTCACAGAAAATGTGTTTATTTTTTTTTATAAATAAAGAACTGTATTTCTTAAGTCAATTATTAAAGTATAACATTAATTTATTCATTTTAAGAGCAAGTGGAAAATGTGCTGAATGTTTCATTTCATCCAAGTGAAATTAGCAAGCAGTTAGACTGAATTTACATTCGTAAATTTACATTCATTTTTGTTGCTTAACCATTCCATTTTGTGCTGATCCGGCCCAAGCCGATACGGATCAGAGCCGCTTTTCCACTGTCAGGCCAAACCATTTTTGTTGCTTAACCATTCCATTTTGTGCTGATCCGGCCCAAGCCGATACGGATATGGTTGATTTTTCACTGTTGGGCTGTTAACAGAGCTCTTTGGAATGCAACATAAATGTGTCAGTCGTTACCTTATTAATGCAAGAGTTAGAATACGGTCGTAGATGTAAATAGCACACGCTATGAAAAATTAAATATTTATTTTAATTTTACTATTAACTTGTTTACTTTGCTCAAATAGCACGCTTGGCCAGCTACAGAGAAACTGTTGGCTAAGCAAAATACAAATGAGAATCCTGAGCAGCGACGTCACTCCAGGCATTCTACAGCACAGTTCAGCGTGTTCGGCTAATAATTCCAGATCAAGAATGGTTTGTGATCAGACTATGCCTAACCAAGTTCAAGTGGAAATATAACTGAAACTGCTCCTTACCATTCACTGAATAGTTTGGCCCAAAAGTAGATTACACGGCTCCATTCATACGGATTTATTCTATGGTTTCTTGGGTGTCAGAGTTTTGAAGTTCATGTCTTGAAGATGCACACTTTTTTATGGGATGGAATGACGGGAGGGAGATTAAGTGGCATCATTTTCATTTTTTGTTGAACTAGGTATATAATCAACATTAATCTTTATAAAAGTATCTCAGTAATTTACCAGCAAATTCACAGGAAATTTTCCCAAAATGTTGTGCTTCTTTAAGGTGGAGCTATGAGAACTTACAAAGCGGGTTAGTTGTAGAAGTATGTGGGGTGATCATGAAGTAAAACAGGTCAGCCTCAGATGGCTGTGCACTGCTGGGTTCTAGAAGTAAAAAAAAAAAAGAAAAGCATTACAGTACAAATATGTTTGTCAAAGTGTCAATGAAGTCAATGACATGGTTTATTTTAAATATCATTATTAAATATAATAAAAAACATTTAAGGTAGCAACATTCATTTTTAAGGGTTGTAGGGTGTGAAGTGTTTTCTTAGATCTGTGAAAAACATAAAAGAAATACAGTGGTTACATGTATACTTCATCCGCAAGAAATTATTTGAAAAATAATTTAATATTGTAAATAAAGTGTAGCACATGATTGAGTCAAAAACTGCTCTACTGCTGTATATGAGATTAAAAGTGAAATACCTTACCTTCAGTGTACTGAGGCCGAAACAGTACGGTGTTCACCAGACTGCTGTTCAGAGAAGACCGCTGCCACAAGCACTTGTCCTAAATATGACAAATAATTCTTCAGTTAAAGGCAAGCTCCACTACTGTTGTGAATTGTAGATTACAGACACATTCATTCCTTGCTATTTGCATACTTTACAAGAAAGAAAGAACATTTCTATACATATCTACTTGAGGCCTCAGTCATAAAAGCAGTTGAAAAGCAGCATTCTCTCTGTATTACAGTAGTAGGTGTTTCAACACAGCAAAGCAGTAATTACTGCAAGACAAAGAGCTCATTCAGTTTAAACCTGAAATGTGTGATCACGTGATGACTATGATTGTGATGTATTAAAAATATTGACAATAACATGGTTAACTTAAAAATAACTTCAGTGACCAAAGCCTCTAACACTAAATTATAGTGTTAACACTGCAAAAGATTACAGTAAACAATGAATTATCAGTGGCACATAAAGATTGACTTTAAAACCTACTGTGAGCTCATCTTGAGGACTTTTGGCATGTTCTTGAATTGTACCTCTGACTTTTCTTTTTTTTTAACTAGCTACACATTTTTCAGTTTGAAAAGTTTTTTTAAAAAGTCTTAAATTCGCCAAAAAAGTTCTGTATTTCTAGTCTTTTTTCTAACAGAAGAAGAGCAAAGATCTTTGGTCAGTCAGTTAAAATTAGCAGCACACAGAAAGATACATTGATTGACACAATTATTTTTTTGAACCTTACCTTATTATTATTGTATAGAAGTAATCAGTCTTTGTCCAGTGGTAAAAATGCAAGCAGTCTCAGCAAATTCGGCGCACAAATTCAAAAACCCGTTGCTTGTTGCGCATGATCTGAAACCTTCCGTACTTCTTCTTCTGTTGTTTTGTTGCACATTAGCAACACATTAGCGCACTGCTGCCTCCCACTGGTGTATTAATGTCACCGGTTTTGTTGTGGCTACATGAATATTTTAAGTAAGAGTTACTCATTGCAGCAAGTAAGTTGTTTTATTGGTAAAAATGCAAGCAGTCTCAGCAAATTCGGCGCACAAATTCAAAAACCCGTTGCTTGTTGCGCATGATCTGAAACCTTCCGTACTTCTTCTTCTGTTGTTTTGTTGCACATTAGCAACACATTAGCGCACTGCTGCCTCCCACTGGTGTATTAATGTCACCGGTTTTGTTGTGGCTACATGAATATTTTAAGTAAGAGTTACTCATTGCAGCAAGTAAGTTGTTTTATTAGCTGTTACTTAATAAAACCGAGTAAGTATAACAGCTAAGTAAAGATAACTAATTATATCCAAGTAAGGTAAACTATTGGATTTTACAGTGTACAGTAGATAAACCATTACACCTATGGAGAGTACCCACAAGGATAGCTGACCAGACTGTGTGTGTGTGTGTGTGTGCATAAAGATTTATTTGCAGCAAGATTGACGACTGGCACTGTGATTTATGTCTTGAACATTATTAAAGTTATCAGAATCAATTTCCTATGTGTTCTGTTTTATTATGCATGCTTCATAAGTGCATGAAAATAAAAGTGTATAATAAATTAAGCTTTAGCGTTAGTTCTGGCAGGTCAGGTGAGTCAAGCTTGCATCAGCTGATTCTCAGCTGATCACATCTACCTATAGGAATACGACACCTATCGCGGCATTCCTATATAAGCTGTATTCAGTATTATTCAGCAGCTTTTCAGCTTGCTCCGGAGCAAATTACCCCTCTCCATCCCCAGCTCCACCTTTCGCCACAGTCAGGACTTGGCTTTCTGATATTCCTTGCTAATCAGACTCCTTTATCTTGAATAAAGTGTTACACTTAAATATCATTAAGTACATTAATGATATCTGCCTTGTTCTGTTCTGTTAACCCTGGGGGGGTTATTATTGCTGCTCTCACTGCTCATTCATGACAGGCTGCATGGATGGGCAGGGAGGTTTTGCCCAGAACAGAACCATACCGCCAAACCAAACTTTATGCTAAGTATCTATCATTTTGACGATAGTGGTCCAGACAGAACCAGTGTTAGGTAATGCATTACAAGGAACGCAAGGTATGTAATCAGATTACTTTTTAGTAGTAAAGTAATGCATTACTTTTTAATTTACAAGAAAATATTGGAGTTACTTTTTCAAATAAGTAACATCAGTTACTTTGTTTTCCCATTTATTGACTGACAGCTCTCCCGTCCCCATATTGAGAGAAATCAGGAGTAAGTGCAGAGGTGTTGTGTGAACATGATGCTTAGTTCTAGACTAAATGTGAACATGCATTTACTCACTTGCACAAAAACAGATTCAGTTTTCCTCAAAATGGATAAAAACAGTGAAATGCAAACTCAGAATATGATGCAAAACTGCAATAATTAAATATGTTAAATAACACAAATATCCTTTATGCATTTAGTCCCATTTTATTAACTAATGTCTTTTCTGCTGACCTTTGATGATCATATTCAATAATACTAATAAGCAAAAATGACTTTAAATTTACATTTCCTTCAGCCTGAGGCACATTCATTTCACTTTTGTGTGAAAGGGTTTTTACATTTGTCAGAAATAGGAACTATTTTATATTCAAAACAAGTAATTTTACATAATATTTAATCAAAATATAATTGCTTTCCAGGAAATAACCTTTCTTTTTCAGTGACGTGAACTTAGAGCAGGCTGATGGATGATGTTAACCAATAATTTAACCATTGTTTTAACCAATTCTGGTTTGTAACACCCAGCTTTCAAGGTCTGATCAATTCCGGATGGATAAAATCAAGTCCCGACCTGATTTATGTGCAGAAAACATCATTTGAACATCATTTGAATTACCTTTAGATAATCTAAACATACTAATTATGAAGTATTTTAGCACCATTTATTGGTGTTTAACTGCTACACTGCCTGATCATTTGTACCAGTGAGTTTCTAAACAGTGTTTAATTGTATGATTCTTCTAATAGGGGCCTTGGAGGCAAATCTTATGACATCTTTCTTACTGGATATTATAGGCACCTCAGGACGCCATCTGTACAGCCAGCTTGGCTTCTCTCATTAGATCTCCATCATCTATTGCGGACGACATGTTCACAGCCAAAACATCTGTCTTTACTGTACATCGTGTTTGTTGGGGAACTATAATCCAAGCTGGTCTCTAGACACAAATAGAGTAAATTCACTAACAGGGGAACTACTGTATCCTTAAGATTTAAATGGGTAGTTCACCATATCATTCCAAAGTCCAAACTTGATATTCATTCTTCTGTGGAACACAAAAGAAGATATTTTGGAGAATGTTGATAACCAAACAGTTGGTGACCACTGACTTTCACGGTTTATGGACAAAAAAAATCTTATATATATCTTCTTTTATGTTTCACACACTGTAAAAAAATAAATAAATGACTGGGTAAGGTTAAGAAAATTCCAATGCAACTTGCAATTTGTAATATTACTAAAATAACACTAAAATTGGTGATTTAAATTTGATTGTTCACTAAATGCATCATCAAGGCAAGTAAAGATTTCATATTCAGCAATTTTTCAGTTATTACTACAATAAATTGATCCACCATTTTACCAGTTTAAAGCCATATATAGAGACTTACTAGACACTTATAGACACAAATAGAGTAAATTCACTAACAGGGGAACTACTGTATCCTTAAGATTTAAATGGATAGTTCACCATATCATTCCAAAGTCCAAACTTGATATTCATTCTTCTGTGGAACACAAAAGAAGATATTTTGGAGAATGTTGATAACCAAACAGTTGGTGACCACTGACTTTCACGGTTTATGGACAAAAAAAATCTTATATATATCTTCTTTTATGTTTCACACACTGTAAAAAAATAAATAAATGACTGGGTAAGGTTAAGAAAATTCCAATGCAACTTGCAATTTGTAATATTACTAAAATAACACTAAAATTGGTGATTTAAATTTGATTGTTCACTAAATGCATCATCAAGGCAAGTAAAGATTTCATATTCAGCAATTTTTCAGTTATTACTACAATAAATTGATCCACCATTTTACCAGTTTAAAGCCATATATAGAGACTTACTAGACACTTAAAATGTTAAAGGTCACATATTTTACACCTTTCTGGAGTTTTATTTTAGGTTTTGATGTCCTTAAGAATATATATATCTGCGGTATAAGTACCAAAAACCATCTCTATATATATTTTTACAGCTCCTTTCTCAGGAGCTCTGCTGAGAACAGGTTGATTTTGGCCTGTCTAATTAATATTCATGTGCCTCTCTTCTGATTGGCCTGTTGTTTTCTGAGTGACGCATGGCCAGGCCAACCACAGGTAACTAGGGTCAGCCGACGTCACAGCGCTAGCTGGAGGCAGCAAAACAAAGGGGAAACTGGAGGTGGCCCATTCAAACCAGAGCAGATTCGGATACATAAGGAGCTTAAAATATCATCTTGTTGTGATGTTGGGTGCCAGAATCAACGTAATACAGCCTCAAATTAGAAATTTGATCGTATATATCTGCTGCCGCTGCCAGACAAAAAACCGACGACAGCTGTGGTTAAACGTGATTAAACGAACAGACTGGACAGAAACGATCGTCAAAAATGCTCGCGTTTGCAGCTCACACTTCTTATCAGAAAAGGTTCAATATAGTATTGTCTTTTGTTGTTATGGGTGCAGATTTCTTGCCATATGCATCTCACGACTATGTCCTGTATGAAAATGTCTGTGTGCATTTGTGTAAAACAACAAACTGACGATTTATATATAATCATTTGTAATTGTATATACATTGTTGTGATTAATTGTGGCTGGAACAATAATGTAGCTGTAAAAATAGTTGCTTGCTGAAATTGAAATGTATATACATCTTCATCATGTGTAGATAGACACGGTGAGTTTGTTACTATACACATTAGATGTGATCCACCTCATAGTAACAATCCTGTCAGATCGAGTGAGAGTGTTTGATCTGGTTTCGTGGTTAAAGTTAACCTTTTCGACATGTTTCCGTGTTGTCGTTGCTCAGCAATGGCATGGACGCGATGTTGTCTGGGGGGTTGGCAAAAGGAGAGTGGGACGGTGGGCGGTGCTCGGGGTGGTGACTGAAGGCGGTGACTGTGTAGTTCTGACGTCAACTTTGTACGGAAGTCACAACATTTCGTGAAAAATCACAGCTACTTTATGCAGGCTGTGTGCATTTTACTGTGGACCGACTGTTTTGAAACTTATACTCTAAAAAATGCTGGGTTGTTTTAACCCAACTTTGGGTGACATATGGAGTAACCCAACTTTTGGGTTAAAAATGTAATAAAAAAATGTAACCCAACAGTTGGGTTAGTCCATATTTGACCCAAAGTTGGGTTAAAACAACCCAGCATTTTTTAAAGTGTATATGGTAGTTACACAGCACCTAGACCTAAAGCCAGGAAATGTCAGTTTTGACAATATGGGACCTTTAAGCAAACTATGCTATCTTTGTTTGTGAAAGAACAATAATCCTACTAAATGTTGTAGAAAATGTTGTACAGACCTCAACACAAACGCACAAACATGAAGAACAGTGACAATCAACAAAGGCAAAAAGATGAGCACAACACAACAAATAAATATATTTTTTAAACAGTGAAGCTCAATGAAAGATCTGAAACAGAAAATATATTTAGTTTAAACCTTCATAAACCAAAATATATTTCAAAATGTATTTCAGGGGCAAGAAAATACATTTCCAGTCAGTAGACTGCATATAGGCTAAATGTAAATGCGGATGGACTAGCCTACTAGAGATCAAAACTATTTATAATGATTTAACTATGTTTAATTTTTAATACACTGTAATATTGTATTTCTTTTGGAACATTGTTAATT